TTAGATGCAAGCACTCGCAGCGAGCTGCGAGGAGCTTAGTGCGAGGACTGGAAAACCGCCTTAAAGCAAATCGACGGTGTATAGTATCACATTTACCGACAACATTTCCCGCGCTAATTAATACAACCTCCTTCCCGGGCTCTTTGGACATTGAACATTGATTGACGAACATTGAAAATGCACCTAACCTCAATTATTTTTATAATCTCATTCTTAAGAATTTCTGAAATGATATAATAACTTATTTTAAAGTTTTTCGTTTGCACACTTTGTCTCTGAGCTTTTCAGTTTTATTTTGATGCAAATGTCCGGAATTTACACGTCACATGTGAATAGCGACTGATCAAAGAATGTATAAGGCAGCCTATAGTTAGATATCATGAAATAAAAGGCTAAATGCCAAATGGTGTTTTACATATAGGTATATGTAATTCTCCCACAACTCCAAACTTCATTTCAATGAATTAAACACGGTAGTGAACACGATATATATACAAGCTTTTAGTTTAAATCATTATGCATTTAGGAGACTTGGGACATAAATTCCGGATATTTGCATACCAAACAAACTGAAATATCTCAAACAACAAAGTGAGCAAACGAAAATCTTCAAAATAAGTTATTATATCATTTCAGAAGAATGAGATGATAAAAAGAACTGAGGTTAGGTGCACTTGAACACTGAACACTGAACATTAAACATTTATTTAAGCACGGTAAATCTTCAGTGTATACTGTATAGGTGCTATTTATTTTGAATAAACCTTACATCTACACTAAACTAATTCTAACACTAAATACTATATATATAAGTAATTGCCGTGTGAGAATCCCACTATATGGTGACGACAAAAATCGATCTGAGTTGATTTTATTTCTGAAATGCCTTAATGAACTAGCTGTACGTGCAGAATGAGGCAGCATATTCTACAACCGTCATGCCTTACTGTGGCGAAAACTACGCTTCAAATAGTCCGTACGCGCGGTTTCGGTAAATTCAACTTCATTTCAGCACTTGTACTTCTTAGTACGTAATGATAGATTGTCCCAATGCAGAACTTCATGCATAACGTCGTAACTGGACTTCGTAATCACTCTGGCAGCCCTATTTTGTAATTTTTGCATTATTCCACATAATGTTATATTAAATTCATCTCAAAGACAGGGCTACAGTAATCACAGTGAGGTTGAATTAATTGCATTATTGGCATTATATATCCAGATTGCAGTTTGGATTGATATAAAACGTCGTATTCCTATAAGCGGAAGAATTTTTTTTACATCTCGTATCAATATGCTTGGAACAAAAATTGAAGCTTTTGTTAATTATTAAACCCATGCAGTGACTTAGGCTTAGCTTTGTCAACTTGCTTTAATTACCATTGCCAATTGCCATCTAGGTCAATATGGATAATTTCGTTGGAATGAGCATAAATTCTTTCTTGGCAATATTGAGACTTAATTTGTTCCCTTCTATAACCAACATTTCAGTTTTTCTGTTTTTGAATTCTCAATTGATTTCATTTTCAAGTTCGGACAATGTATTTGTCGTATAACTTTTTTTCGTATCATCGGCGAACATTTTCGGCGAGGCTGCACTGAGACAATTAGGATCAGTTAATTACCTATGCACGCTCGATCAAGTTGGCCGACAAACATGCAAACAAACCGACGAATCGAAATGGAACTAAGGAATCTATCCTGGAAGAGAACACGTATACAGTACAGTAACACGCAACGTTGAGGCCAGCGACCGAACAAACAAATATCGAAGAAAACGATTGAACGGTCTTGATTGCATGGTCCGGATTGGTCAGTCTCACTTTTGGACCACTGCACCTATGCCCATTGTATGCGTTTTTGAATATAAAAAGAAACTGATCGATTAGAAAGCGGATTAGGTAATTAAAGTGAAATTTAATTAAAGTTTATTGGTTATACAGTCACTTTACAGTGTGTATTTAAAAAAAAGGCTAGCTTTGAAATTCAAATTAGTCATAATTACAGTGATCTCATTGTTCTAAACTGCGTAGAGGTAATGATACGCGACGAAAACATGTCTTATTTACAAAAGAGATCAATTATAACTTCATTTTAATGCTGCTTATACTGTACAGGGTATTTCATTGAATTGTCCGTACATGTCCCATAAGTAGAAAAGCTTTTGTTTTACGGCTCGCTAATTGATTAGCAGTAATTATAAATTCAATACAATATGACTAATTTGAATTTCAAAGACTAGCCTTCTTTTTATACACCCTGTATTGCTGAAGCTGAGTTTGACATTTCACATTTTCTTTGACAATAGTAAAGCTAATTGCCCGGAACGAGAACTATTAGACGTGGGTGAAAGTTAAAATTGGCAACAACTTTTGATTGTTCCTTATATAGGGTCTCCTTAAAACATCTGCAGGGCGTATCAAAAAGTAGATGTAAAACCCTCTTAAATTGAAATTAACCATAATCTATTGTAGTAATTTGACGCTGTATAATTTCTATAATGAATGCGTGGAAACACAAGGTCTTCTTCTGCACATGGAAATTTCAATAGTTTCTTTTGGGTTTTTTTGGGACACCCTGTATTCTGGTTTACACATGTTCCAACAATCAATAGCTTGATTTCTAAAGCCTCGTTTTTAGACAGTACAAGAAATTAATTTAATTTGATTTTAACCCTGACTAAATATTTGTTAGAAAGCGCCCAGCTGGACTTCATTGAATTTAAACAAAAGAAAGCCTTTCGTGCATGTGAAATCCAGGTCTTCATCAATTAATATATACAGGGTGTATAAAAAAAACTACCTCGAAATTTCCTAGGAAATCACTTGCAATTCTTAAGCATAAAAGATATTAGGCCCCTGGGAATTGAAATCGAATTGCTAATAGATCATATTACTCTTGTTGTGCATTAAATAAATGCATAAATTTTGCTTTATGCACTCGCGTGTGCAGTAATTTTGACAGTTTGTCTTTAAAACAATGTCGATATCTTCGGAAATTCCGAGGTTGCGTTTTTTTTATACACCCTGGTCCCTGTACAATAGCCTATACATGCTTATTTTTCACCCTGCTCGGTTTACTTTGTTCTTATCGAGAAATATATTCAATATTCCGCTCTAATCAATTTCCGTTTAATAATCCCTCTAATATTCACCTGCAATTAATAATCCCCTCTAATATTCACCTGCAATGTCTTTGCATCACAAAAAAATGAGAAAAAAACAACATAACGAAAGCAATATGACATTAAGAATTATTTCTATTCTTACTCATTAATGCGACCTCGCAGTGTGAAAAAAAGTACGTTATTTTGAGGCACCTCGGGGATATGTGTTTATTCATCATGATATGAGTAAATCACATATCCCCTCGTTGCCTCAAAATAACCTATACAAATATAGCTTCATTTCGAATATTCATTGTCATTACGCGTCAAAGCCGCAAGCTGGCAATCGAAAGCTTGTACTTTTAATCAATATTTAGAACCAGAGAATGTTTAAAAACTTACTCATTATGGAAAATCCTCTAAACAAACGCTGTTTGTTGGTTATTAGCAAAATTGCCTCGTTGTTTTGGGCTCAGTGCCAGTGTTGACTTTGTCTTTGAGCTTCGCTATCAATATAAATCTACAAAGCGGCCAGACGGTGCTGAAATATTACATGCTATAGACTTACTTCCAGCTTTCGTATATCAAGAAACAAGATGGATTTCTATGGTGAGTAAGATTTAAGCAAAGTTTCTATATAATTTTAGTTTCTCGTTTCGTGTTGACATATTTATTTGCTCTGACTGCATTGCTTGATTCTTAAAATCGGACATGTGAAACTATATATGTGGAGTAGACATGTACACTGTTGACGTGTATAAAACGAGACGAGTTTATCTCGCCATTTACGGTGCTAAGAGCCTAAGGGCCTGTTCATATGGGCAAAAGCTATCGCGGTTAGCGAGAAAACTTTTCGACAAGTTTAGAAGCGAGATCTCGCCTTGGTATGAAAATAATATGAAAAGTTACACTGCGTTCATATGAGACAAAAAGTTTTCCCGTGTACCGAGATCTCGCTTGTTAACAGGCGAGATCTCGGTGACCGGGATAATGTTTTTCCCATATGAACACAACTTTCCCGCTTAGCCGGATATAAACTTTCTGTCGTGTCAGCAACTTTTCAATTCAACTGATGTTCAGTGCAACGTCACAGCCGAAAACTTTACCCGGTAAGCTGAATAAAGTTTCTCCATATGAACAGAACAAAAGTATTTGGCTAGTCGAAAAGTTTTCTCGTTAACCGGGATAACTTTTGCCCATATGAACAGGCCCTAAGACGATCAATTTAACGTTTTGTTGTATTTAATATAGTGTAGTAATTTCGCTTTGAATTACTTTCTTCGTATTTTGATGTCAAATTCAACACGTGTTTGGCAGGTATTTGAACTGTTGGATTCTGTAACCAAGACATGCAATTGTTGACACCAGCTCTTAGAAAGTGAGTGTGATATGTAGGTTTAAAATAAGAAAATAAAACTCATATAAGTCTAGCTGAAGTTGAATAGATGTATATAGAGCCGGGGCTGATTACATGCGAGTTTTCAATCCGTTAAAACCGACCTGAAATTGTTTACACGTTTGCATGGCAGCGCTCTGCCAAATTTAAACCGGGCTGAAAGTCCGCTTAGGATGAAAATCGATCGGCTTTAATTTATCGTTAGGCCGTCAAATTTCACGGGCTGAAACTTGGAACGAACTCTAAGAAACTTCATGTAAACCAGTGATGTAATCTGCCTCGTTCACAGGCCCTTGTGCCTTTTAGGAAAGTCGCAATTTATGGTGGACATGTCATAATCTTCTAGAGAAATGATTTCCTATATATTGCATTGTGCTAGCTGCTCTGCCTAACACCAGACGATTTTGCTCGTCAAGAACTAAACTAATTTCGAAGAGCAAACGTTTATTTGGTAATTAAAACTGTGCATGGTTTATCATGCAACTTCAATAATTTGGATTCTTGCACTTCACTTGGTGGAATTAATATTAGAATGTTAGGGTTTGTAAGTGAGAATATTTTAAAATACGAAATAAAACCTAACCAGGAACGACTGCGAAAAATGCAGCACAAGGTCCTCTGGTAGGAATTGAACCTACGGCCCTGCGATTCCAGCGCTCTAACCAACTGAGCTACAGAGGCCAGCTGTTGAGCTGTAAAAACCCTTTCAAACGATTCTCGATGCCATTGGCAGCATCACCAACATTGGGCGGTTACCAATTTCGCTGATAATTTTTCAAAGCTTTGTATTTTGTCACAGGAATACTAATACACAGGATTTAATTACATTTTTTGCTTCCCTGCATATATACCATGCACCATCGGCAAACAGTTTGTCAAGTTGAGCTCGTTCGTTCAATTTCTTGATGTGCACTGGAGCCCTCGTGGAATAGGAAACGAAAGATAGCGGGGCTGGGTGGGGAAAGGGGAGAGCTGTCCCAGGAAACCGTAAAGTTGGGCAAATTATAACGTAAGTTGGACGAAAAGGCGTGGAAAAATATTATGTAAGATAATAGTCGAAAATGCACGAATATGGAAGCTTCGAAATATTTTTTTAATTTCCCGCCCGTCGACTAAAATTTTGGGAATTTTAAACGGAACTTTTTTTTATAAGTGGGGCAAAATGCAAAAAAGTGGGGGCAAATTTCTCGCTGCCCCCCCCCCCCCATTTTTTCCCTTCTGTACACCTATATGTTTATTGACATTGTTTTTTGTCGGTAAAAGTTTAATTTTCAACCACTTTCGTGAGCACTTTACTGAAAAAGAAAAAGGTTCATATTCGAAAGGGCGTATATGGAAAGGAATGCCAACAAGGTGCGAAGAGAAACATAGCTTGGCCCAGAGGCAGAGGTGTAGGGATGAGGATTGAGGAACGTAAGAAAATTTAGAGACTCTTTAGCTCGGTTGTTAGTCAAACATTTAATCAGGTATCTTTTAGAGGAAACAACATTATTCTACAAATATCTGAATAACTACATGGGTCACAAGAGATATTGCTATACTATAACTGAGTTTCATGATATCAGTTGACAGTTCTATTGCTTCAGTCACCTTTCGAAAGAAAAAGATGTCATTAGTCATACACGATCGATAGCATAGTAAAAGAGTATGGTTGTATACTGTGGCTCCATACAGTTTAAAAAAGATGGAAAATTCGCGATTTAAATCCACATTTTTGGACAATTATTACATGTTGGAAAACAAAAAGTATCTCACAGATGTAAAACAACACCAAGTGCCGTTGCTATTGGTAACGGTGACATTTCAAGATGGCGGAATTGGTGCCTTTAAAGTAAAATATTTTAAAGCCAAAATACCCGCCATTTTGAAACTTCAGTCGTCATAGCTTTGTGCCCACGAAGAATGCTGGTCTTAATAGTCATCGCCCGAGAAAATTAAACAATTCAAAATGGTCACTATCGATTTTTTCCGGCATTCCTCGCGGGCATCAAGCGTTGTGACGTCATCATGCACAAAGTCTATTCTCCAAAAATACGGATCTAAATCGTGAATTTTCCATTTTTAGAAAACTATATCGAACAACCTTAAGACTTGGGTGTTTAAAATCAC